CCTTTGCTGGAGGGGCCGCCCCCCGCACTGGGGCAGCTTCCTCCAGTGCTGGCAGGCACACACCATCCCCTCACCCATCCCCACCGCACCCCCACTCCAGACAGTCCCCAACCCCTGCCCCCCCCGACTTACCTGTATGCAGCTGCCCCCAGCCCCCTGCCTACCTACATGCTGAAGGTCTGCGCACCCTGCCTCCACTCCCCCCAGGCCCCAGCAGCTCCTTGCTAGGGCAAGCCAGGAAGTGCAGGGAAAACTTGAGCTGACCAAAACCCCAGACATTTGATCATATTTAGACAAAAAACCAGCCAGAACAAGATCAGAGGATCTAAAAAGAGGACACATTTGGGAAAACGTGACCATATGGTAACCCTACCCCTGTGCTGTGCACAGGACCTGGGACCCAGGCTCAGCCCAGGGTGCTGCTTGCAGCCGGGAGACTGCGAAAGAGGCAGGCAGCGGCGCTTGCTGGGGGGCTGCAGAGAGATGCAGCCTTGCCCCCGCAGGGGTCTTCCCCAGCGCGCCCGCTGGACTCAGGTCCAGCTCTGGCTGTTTTAAACCGCCATCAAGCAGCAAGGGATTTGCTGGCGGGACAGGAAAAGCGCAGAGTGAATGCATGGAGCCCGCAAGACCCGCTCCAACGGGACAGCCACACTTTATTGATTCCAAGGCCAGGAAGAAGAAAAAAGTGCAATAAAAAGTGCAAACGATCAAAGTTTTAACTTGGCCCCCGTGCTCCACTGCACTGCAGCTGCGCAGCTGTCCTGGTAATTCACGCCCCTGCCCTGCGGCTCACCCCCCTGCCACCACGCACCTGAGCTGGGAGCGTGTCGAACAGGAGCTGGCAGCACCGAGCAACGCTGTCTTGGAGAAGCACAAGGAGCTGTGATTCTAAACAAGCGCCAGGCAGTGATTCCAGTAAGCACCAAGCATCCCCCGTCCCCCACTGCCTGCCCTGGATCCAGCTGCTGGCTGTCTTTCATAAATCCCCATGTGAAGCAGGCTTTGCGGCTGACCTACCCTTTGTGCTGCAGAACGGAAAGACACTGGGTTCAACAGGGCAACTCTCTGCCCCCCTGTAATTTCAGTGGGATGTTTTGTTGATTCAGAAGCATTTAGCTAACACCGAGGAGGGTTGTGGAATGAGCTGCACCTCTCCATTGCCCTTAGAGCGCACAAAAAGATGGGCCAGATGATTTCATCCTGACTTGGCATGGAAATGGCCTGCATGTCCCAGCTACTCTTTCTATCAGCAGCAGCAGAGCAACAGCAAAGGCCCATGACCTGGACACAGGAACAAAGGCTTGCATTCATGTCTGTGATTTGTATCTTCAGGCTCCTCTATACCAGCCTAGTAACAGCAGCTCTGCCAGGCACCAACTGCAGCTGGGACACCACGTGGGTTGTATCCAGCTGTGCTTGGGATCAGAAAATAAGCAAGAGAGCTTCTTCTGGTACATCCTCACAGATGCAGTCCCAAAAGAGTCTACGGGTGGGGAAGAGACAGACGGTGCTACAGCCGATGGAGTGCACCGAGGCCGGAGACCAGCTCCTGGCTTCACTCTTGTAACAGACTCCTGGCCACAATCATCCTCATCACCTCATTGGTACCTGTAGGAGGATGAAGGCACAGAGAAAAATACATCATTTTAAATGAGGCCCCCAAACTGATCCCATCAAAAGTCCATGGGATTTTTGCATCTAACCCAGAATTCCCTCCATCCATGGAAAGAGTCCTTGATGGAAGCAGCCACAACAGAAGTATCACAACCAGTAGAGCAATGGTCCTGCATCTCTATCAGACTCATGCAGAACCTGCTGAAAACCAGCCTAACCTCTGAAAAAGACACTTTTCATGGATGGAGAAGCTCTAGGCATTTAGTGGGCACAAGGACATATGTAATATACATATGCCTGGAAATAGATTACTTATTAAAAGGCCTGGCACAGAGAGGTGCTAAGTTCTCCCAGCTCTCACTGGCATTACGAAGCTCTGAGGGTGCTGACCACCAACTACAACTACTCCGAGACTCTTTGCTTTACCAACTACACGTGCAGCAGCATCACATCATGGAAAAGGGAGCTGCAAAGTCCCCTTCAGTAAAGGGCAGCCAGGACCACATCCCTGCTGGACTCCCCAGGGCCAGGTGATGGAAGTTCAAGGAGAAACAAACTATTAAGAGGCTGATTCAAGATGAAAGATTAAAGAGCTGATATCAATAGCCAGGCTCTGCGATGCCTAAGGGAAATATTCTTACAGATACCTTCAGATGTCTGAAGTATGGGTAGCACCACAGACTAAGGAGGCAGCACTATAACAGGCTTCAGTAGGAGTGATAGACAATTAAACCAAGACACCATTAGCATGGATGTCAGGAGAGCTCCTTCTCTGGTGGGAGATTGCTGTGAAATAATTTCCCCACAGAGGGGACGAATCCTCTTTAACTGAGTCCTTTTAGAGGGAGATTTAGAAAAGGTACTGGAAAATATACTGCAGGGAGCAATTCCGTACATGGGACAGCTAAATGTGCAGGTCTCTTCCAATTCTAATGTTTTTTTTTTTATCATGTTAGAAAGATCTGTTGAGGGTACAGGAATCTGCTGTAGACTAGTGGATTCAGACCTCCTTTATGGATCTTTCTGCTAGCTGGGAGATCTAACATCTAGGACCAGGCAGTGGTCAGTTTTGTGTGTGGCATCCCAACTTACCTTCCAAGATCTGGTGCACTCTGATATCTCTCAGAAATTGCTGCACAGCATAGTCTTTCAGGTAGCCATAGCCCCCATGCATCTGTAAGGCTTGGTTACAGATCTGAAGGGGAGAGAAAGTTGCTGTGCCAAATGCAAGATGATGATGCGACTCGCTCAGGGTAGCAGAGCTGGTATGAGAACCCAGGAAACTAGATTCAAATCCTATCAGCCCTGGCAGAGCTGGACATGACACCCAGAAGCCACAAATCCTGGTCTCTCCCACTCTAACCACTAAATGCATAAAGCTTGTGCCATTTTCCCCAGTGTGCTATTTTAAGCTAACAGTGCTGTTTAAAGTGGATGCTGCAGTATCAGAGTGCTGAGGATGCACTTAGCCAAGGTAGTTTCTTTTTCATTTGTACTGAGTCTAGATGCAAATTTAAAGTGCCAGATCACCATCTAGTGGCCAGTCAGGATAAAAGATCTCTTCAGGGGCTTGGTATCTATCTAAAAGACCAGTTCATTCCAGCATATATAATCCCATGTATAAGATACGCTGGAAGGACAGCAAGAATCCAATAGTCTGACAGCAGGATATTGTAAGAAGTCCCAGATGCGACTAAGCCAAGAAAATCCACGAATAAGAATTGTTTCCTTTTAGTGAACTGGCAGCGTGTTGTGCATACCCCATTCCCAGTGACACTTGTTAAACCAGATCTAACAGCATGTGGCAAAGCCCCTGCTGTATACACGTTTTACCTCCTGATTCATAATTATATCTTGGCTTCTGGCCTCCCAGAAAGTGCAGAAGGCACTGGGACAAGGGCAGGGCTGAGGGATCCTAGATGGGGCCAAGAATCCATCCTGCAAAGGGTCCAGGAGTCCAACCCGAGACCATGTGCTCTGAGCTGGGACCCTGCAGCCTTGAGCAACTTTCTGACATCCCAAGCAGCATCAATCCTACAAGAGGCTCTGAACTTCCAGCCACGACACTTAGAGCAAAATTGGAGAATTTACCGCAAAGCACTCATCAGTGGCAAAGAGTTTGGCCATGGAGCAGAGGGCGACGGCATCCTCTCGCCCCTCCTGTAGTGCTTGTGCTGCGTTTCGTACCATGAGGCGTGCTGCCACCAGATGCGTTGCCATCTCAGCCAGTCTGAACTGGAGGTACTGCCAGGAGAGATGCAGACAGGTGCAGGCCAGTTTAAGCCCTCAATTCTGTGGGGTCCTAGTTTGAAACCCACTGCCTCCAGTTTGAAAGCCCAGGTAGTGACCAGTCCTGTCCCCTGTCTCCCTCAGGCCAAGCCTTAGCTTCTGATGCCCCCCCATCCCTGACTTTGACAGGGCCGCTGTCTTTGTTTTTATTGCCCAGGTGCTTTCTAGAAAGGCCTACCCTGGACATGAAGCTCAAATCTCGCTCTGAGACTCTGCTAATGCTTCAGTCCCCTCACTCTAACTCCATTCGTCTCTTCCTATCCATCGGTCTCTGATTATAAAAGTACTCCAACAGGGTTTTTCTGCTTACCACGTGTGTTGAGAACCACCCCTCCACCCCCGTTGCCATCTAAACCTCTATCAACAAGAGGTGCTACAGGAGAGGGTACAAGAGCCTTAGTACTAGAGAAAGCTCTCAACTATTTCAGTTCCCAGCATCTCCTTGCAGGAGGCACCGTAAGGCCGGATGCGGACATTCTGGTTGCTTGTACACGTGATAGCAGGAGGGGGACAAAACTGGAAAGAGGGTTCTGTGAAGTCACCTGATTACTGGTCAGCGGTTCCCCAAACTGCTTGCGGACTGTGAGATGCTCTTGGGCCAAGAGGACAGAGGCATGAGCAGCTCCTAGAGAACAAGAAGCTGGCAGGGGCACAATGTGAATATTAGGTTACAGCCACTGGAACAGCTTAATGGAAGATACGGCTTGCTCTCAAACACCGATCTTACCTATGTTTATCCTTCCACCGTTCAGTCCCTTCATGGCAATGCCAAAGCCCTGTCCCTCGGCTCCCAGCCGATTGGCCACAGGAACAACACAGTCCTCGAAGATCACTGCCCGAGTTGGCTGGGAGTTCCAGCCCACCTGGGAGAGACAGGGACAACTCACACACTGTCTGAAGGGAACATGGACCAGCTGAGGGGCGCCAGAGCACTAAGAGGCATACGACCTAGGCCCATGGTCAGGCTGATTGGAAAGCTTGATATGCAGTAGAGGATTCTGCTCACACACCCATCCAAGCCTTTCTGAACTACAGGTCTACACATGCACTGCTCCCATCAGCTGGATTTTGACAGCAGTTTGTATTACAGTTTAGGTGGCTCAGGCTCTGTGCATCAGATTTGCACCTCCAGAGAAACACGGTTAAGTCACACTCAGGTTGGGACTCTACTGATCTGCAAAGCGCCACACTATCTCCACTTCTATCAGCCTAGCTGATCACTCTTATCAGGTCTGAGCTTGAGAAGAGCTGCTGAAGGGGTCAAATAGCCCAACTTGCGAACAGGAGCTTTCAGCAGGGGACTGGAGCTATGATTTGATCCAAGAGAGGATCTGGGGTGGCCTATTCCAGTTGGGTCTGCCTCTGTCCTCCCCTACTCCACACAATGTCACAAGTCTCTCACCTTCCTCTCCTTCTTGCCAAAGCTGAGCCCTGGAGTTCCCTTTTCCAGCACCAGGCAGGAGATGCCCTTGGGGCCTGGCCCTCCTGTACGACACATGACCACATAAACATCCGTGTCACCGCCCCCACTGATGAAGGCCTGGTGAAGGACACGTGAAATAAGAGACTGCATTAACATGCAGGAACCAGTACCCCAAAGCACAGCTTGCATCGCTCTTGGATGGAGGAGGGAATCATAACTGGTATCAAGTATGTGGGGCACATGAATCCTCTTGCAAGATAATCCCAGAACAAAGAGGAGAAGCTGAGATGAGGGTGAGGGAATCAAGTGGAGGAACGGCAAGAAGACAAAGGAAAGGACATGAGGCAGGAGAAGCGGCTTGAGTGATGCAGGATGAACCCAGGAGCTGGACAGCTGATAGGAGCTGAACGTGATAGTTGTGTCCACTTCCTGGGAGCTAGGGTGTGGAAATTCCAGGGAGAGGGACTGGTCTGGGAGCATCAGGGCACAAGGAATAACAGGAGGAAGTTCACCAAAGGAAATCTGAGGCTGGACAACAGTGAGAGCTTCTCAACAGCAAGAACTGGGCTGTGGAACAGTGCACTCAAGAAAAGGGGTAGAAACCTCATTGGAAAGGGACAGTAAGGACTTATCTTAATCCCCAGAACATACACCACACAGAACAATCCTGTCCTGGGGGATCACTGTAGACAGGGTGACCCAAAGGGACTTCTCTCAAGGGACAGGGCAAGAGGAAGGGGGGGAGGGGGGAAGAGACAGCCAAGCAAAATCTCTCTTAGCAAAGCATGGAGTCTATGGAGCTTCCAAGAAAAAACCTGCTACCTTGGAACCATTAAGGACATAGGCGTCACCTTTCCTCCTGGCCGACGTTAGCAAAGAAGCTGCATCACTTCCGCTTCCTGTTTGTGGGAAGAGAAAGGAATTAATGAGATGACAGAACAGCACTTTATTCACAAAGTTCTGAACCATGAGACATATTCTAGAGCCAAAGCATACAAGACTATAACTCCTACTGACCTCAGTAGAAGCTGGGCCCTTTTACCTCATAGCTGAATATATCCTGGTCAAGCCATCACAAGCTGATGAACTAGTCTCTTCCAGCCTACATAGGATCCTGATTGCCCACAACCTGTCAAGACCTGTATGAAATTACACATCCAAATGCCCTGGATGGAGATTGGTCAGTTACCTTGGAATTAGCTGTCTGTTTCACCAGCCACAAAAGGAGCTGCAGGGTCAGCAACAGGGGTTGAAGAGCCATTCCAGCTCCTTTACATACCCTACAGATCCCTCTGTGTCCTCCTCCTAACGTGCTGTTTTGACCTCTGGCACCTCAGCAAACCTTTCCACCACACAGAGATGCACCATATTGTGGCATCGGCCCTTGCTACACTTATACCCCAAAGCATCAGCCCTTGATTACTCAGGCCAGTGGGATACTGAACACTTCACTTCCAATTCCCTGTCATTTTTGTGACTAGGAGCAGTACAATGCATCTCACTAGACGACAAGACAGGAACACGAGGGGATTCTTCAAATTTGAAGCTCACCTGGCTCGGTCAGGCAGTATGAGGCAAGTTTCTCCATGCTACAGAGTGATGGGCAGAACCTGTGTCTCTGCTCCTCGCTCCCAAATGTATCAATCATCCAAGCGCACATGCTGTACCAGGAGAGAGGAAATGGGATTAACATGCATGCAAGTGCAGGCCCAGAACGAAGGTTGATTACATCCATCTCAGCCATGGGAATTGCAATCTAAACCTAGCACTAGGTTCTCCCTGCTCTTAACCTACAGCTGACAGCAGCAAGGTTGGAAAGCTGACTTGTCTGGACTTAGCTAACTAAACCTAAGAGCCTGCCTTGCCATACACTGAAATGGAGCAAAGCTGCCACATGCCACAAGGTTTGGCTCAAACTCCCGGGAATCACAAACGCCAAGTACAGGACTAGGAGTCAGGAGATCTGAAATCTATTCTCAACACGCGACTTCCAGCAACTCACCACTCCTCCGTTTGCCAGAGCACCCGTGAACAGAAGTAGGGATAATTCTTGATTGTTTGTATTGCACTAGCACCTAGGAGCCAGTCAAGGACCAGGACTCTGTGCTAGGTGCTGCTCAAGCAGAACACAGTTGGTCCCTGCACCAAAAGAGCTTCCAGTCTCACTCATCTTTTCAAAGATCTCAGACTTCCACAGAAAAAGCACTGCCAAGAGGGAGGCATAGCCCATATTATGCCATCTAGCACGGGAAGGGAGGGGGGGGGGGGGCCCTTTAAGGATGAGGGGGGGGGGGGGGGGGGGGGGGGGACCCTTATAGAAATAGGGTCTTTGGGGCACCATCACCACACAACCAAAGCAAGAAATGTCTGTAGAGGTGGGACTACCGGGATGCATACAGTTAAAAGGAATTGTCCTTGGCCATATGACAAGTCAGTGGCAGTGACAGGAACAGAACCAAGAAGTTCCCAGCTTTTAACCCTCTTCCCACACCAGCAAGCTAACGTGGCTTCCATGCAAATGGGCGTTATTCTACCTGGTATCTTGGGGCTGCAGTCCAATTGTTAATGAACAAGGACACCTACGGCTCCTTGTCCATGCAAGGTCCTTATGCTACACGAGTAGCATTCCTGAATGCTACAAATGTAGAGCGCCAACGACCCACACTGACCCCAGCAGCAGAGCCAGCCCTCCCATGCAGGAGAAGCGCACTCACTTGTGGATGCTTATGTAGGCTGTGGTACTGGTACATCCTGTCGACAAAGCCTCAAAGATGATGGAAGTGTCGAGTCGTGACAGTCCAGAGCCACCCACGTCTGGTTTCACATAGATCCCACCAAACCCAAGCTGGGCTGCCTTCCGCAGTGTCTCCACTGGGAATATTTCCTATAGGGATGCAGAAGAGAGGCATGACAACACAGGACTTCCTACTGGGGACAGGAAAGAGAGAAATGGGAGATCAGCTTTGGGGAAAAACAAACCTGATTTTAATCTTTCACCATGTTTAAAGGCATGCTTGGCTGGATGGGCAAGTAGCTAGCTACTCTCTTCTCTGTGGAGGGATCAAAAGCACGATTTTAGACCAACCAGTATCTCCTGCCAGCAACCCCACCCAGCTGCCCTCAGCAGCACTTTTTCAGGCAAACAAGCCTCTGTAAGCTGCAACTGCTGTGCTAAGCAAGAAGGGAAGAGGGCTAAGGCAGCAACAAGATACTAAAAAAGGAACGATGAGCCTTTTAAATTTCAAACAGACAAGATGAGCGCCCAAGGAAGCAGGGGCCACTGGGCAAAGAAAGCATCTGCTTTGGGGCTGGCAGTTGGGCTGTGCTCTCACCTTCTCATCCCATTCTGCCATGTGAGGGGCCATCTCTTTGGCAGCAAAATCAAAGGCCACTTTTTGGAACTCCTTCTGCTCCTCAGTCAGGCCTGCGGATGCTGGAAGAGCAGATCACATGTTTTAGGGAAGGCTGCAAAAGTTTCACTTGCTTCATACCCATGGCAAATCTGAAACCCTATTGCATCTCTCTCTCCTAAGCCAAATCTCTCTGGCCCCAGTATCCAAACAAACCTGGAGCCTTTCAAGCCACTTGTAGGCATTTTCTCTGCCAATACATCAGTGCAGAACAAATACCCCAGCATGCTGATACAGGCACAGAGCTCGTAAAGGTACTCCTCACTTTATGTCGTCCGGGTTAACGTTTCATTATTACATCCCGGATCTATTAGAGAACATACTCAAAGTCACGCAACGTTGGGTTAGAACGTCATTTAGCTGCTGCCTGCCAGTAGGTAACTGCTGTGACGTAACTGGATTCGCTTAACACCATTTCGCTTAAAGTCGCCTTTTTCAAGAATGTAACTATAACATTAAGCGAGGAGTAGCTGTGGTAGGGTCATTAGAAGATCGTGGTTGCTGATCGGGAGCTACAAAGTAAAACTAAAAAGGCGATTCAAACCTTTATTAGCACTTCCCCATGCAAAGCAGCACCAGTGCTCCCTCTCAGCTGCGCAGCATGCGCGGCTGTGCAGATGCTCCCAGCAGCGTGGCACGAGTACGACCGCGCAGCGTGCACACTGCACAGCTTAGAGGGAATGCTGAGCAGCATCCTGCCTGCTGTTTCGTTTTTGGTTGTTTCCAGCCCCTTTCAGAAACAAAACCTCCTGATTTCCCTGCTTCTGCCGGAGAGCGGCTCTGCAACACAGGTGTGTTACTACAAGCTTGCCGAGCCCCGTACAAGGGCTGTAGGCTTGCAGCAGCTCTAAAGTTTCCAGTAGGTGAATCTCTTAAAACAAAACACAACAAGAAGCAAAAGCAACTCCCAGATAACCAGCAAAAGCTGCAAAAGCAGAAGCCTGAGCTCTTGCATCCTGGCCGCAAGCTACCACGGACAGTTACACTCTGCTTCTCCAAATGCCTCGTTCATGTGCAGAGACATAGGAGACCGCGTCACTCCTGCGCCGAAGGGTGGCACGACGCTGCACGCCACCCGCCACGTTTCATCCCAAGAGCGGGTTCATTTCAGTGCAGGGAAAAACATGCCTGACTTCAGTTTGCCGAGCACTTTGGGAAGGAAGGTTGTTGTTTGTAGCTGTGTTCGTCGCAGGACACAAGCAAGCAAAAGGGTTTTTCGGGTACACGCTGTATCTTTTATTAAACCAACCAAACTGTTGGGGGAAAAAAGTTCGTTCGGGCACAAACACCCTTCCTCGGGCAGAGGGAAAGGGCTCGGACACCGGGTCTCTTACAATGCACAGCAAGGAGAGGCCTTTCTTACAAGGCGAACGGAGCGGAGCCTCAACCGGGGCTGGACGCCTGCGGCGCTGGGTCTCGTGTGACAACCGGCGTCCCTTGACCCAGAGCCCGAGGAATAAAGAACAAAGTCATGTTTTGTAACAAAGCGCCGGTGCAGAGGCAACGGACCCCCGGGAGGCACAGATCGTGCCCACGAAAACCACTGCGCTTGCTTCCCCGTGGCGGCAAGGAGAAGAGCGAGCTGCTGCTGCTTGCCAGTGCTCCCGCGTCTCCCAACTGCACAACGCGCGGTAAACACAGCCCAGACACACGTGCACGGGCAACGCGCCCTAAAGCTCAACCCGCTCTCAAGGGCAGCCCAGCCCAGCCCCAGCCCCAGCCCCAGAGCCTTACGGTCGAT